GGGGATGTGTCAGGGTTATACCATTTCACGATACTTATTCAATATTTACACATACTTATTCAATCAGAATGCTGAACAAATAATCCAAGAAGCCAGACTATATGAAGAAGAACGTGGCATCAGGATTGTAGGAAGACTTATTAACAACCTGCAATATGCAGATGACACAACCTTGCTGCTGAAAGTGAAGATGACTTGAAGCACTTATCGATGAAGATCAAAGACTACAGTCTTCATTACGGATTACAACTCAACACAAAGAAAACAAAAGTCCTCACAACTGGGCCAAAAAGCAACATTACGATAGAGAAAACATTGAAGTTGTCAGGGATTTTATTTTACTTGGATCCACAATCAACACCAATGGAAGCAGCAGTCAAGAAATAAGACATCATGTTGCACTGGGCAAATCTGCTGCAAAAGACCTCTTTAAAATGTTAAGAAGCAAAGATGTCACTGTGATGACTGTTGTTGTTGTTATGTGCTGTCGAGTCGGACCCAACTCATAGCGACCCCTCCTTGGGTTTCTGAGGCAGTATCACTACAGAAGTAGATTGCCCCATCTTCCTTCCGAGGACTGGCTGGTGGGTTTGAACCACCAACCTTCTGGTTAGCAGTCAAGTGCCTTAGGCACTATGGGTCCACTTAACCCAAGCCATGGTATTTTCTATCACCTCATATGCACGTGAAAACTGGACAATGAATAAGAAGACTGAAGAAGAGCTGATGCCTTTAAATTATGGTGTTAGCAAATAATATTGAAAATACCATGGGCTGCCAGAAGAACAAACTATCTGTCCTGGAAGAAATGCAGCTGGAATGCTCCTTGGAAGTGAGAATGGCCAGACTTCATTTCATTTACTTTGGTCATGTTGTCAGAAGGGACCATTCCCTGAAGAAGGGTATCATGTTTGGTGGAGGGTCAGAGAAAAAGAGGAAGTCCCTCAACAAGACGGATTGACACAGTGGCTCCAATGATGGGCTCAAGCATAACAAGGATTTTGAGGATGGCACACAACTATGGACTGTTGTACACAGGGTCGCTATGAATCAGAGCTGACTTTATGGCACCTGTCAACAGCAATGCCTAGGATATTGATCTTCAATTGTTCCATTTCATGTTTGACAACTTGCAGTTTTCCTAGATTCATACTTCATACATTCAATGTTCCAATGGATGTTTGCTGCTGTTTCTTCTAATTTTGAGTCATAGTACATCAGCAAATAAAGGTCCTGAAAGCTTTACCACATCTACATAGCTCTGGTGGCATAGTGCCTAAGACATTTGACTGCTAACCAGAAGGCTGGTGGTTCAAACCCACCAGCCACTTCTCGGAAGGTTGGGCAATCTACTTCTGCAGTGATACTGCCTCAGAAACCCAAGGAGGGGTCACTGTGAGTAGGATCCGACTCTCAGCAGTGAGAGAGAGCAATACTTTGAGAAGGCAACTCTTCCCCAGTTGTATTTTCAGTACCTTCCAACCTGAGAGGCTCATCTTTGGCACTTTATCAGACTGTGTTCCACTGTTATTCCTAAGGTTTCACTGGCCAAGTTCTTCAGAAGTAGAACACCAGTTCTTCTTCCCACTCACAGGTCCAGTGAAACCTGTCCACCATTGGTGACCATTCTAGTACTTGAAATACCAGTGGCATAGTTTCTGGCATCACAGCAACATGCAAGCTAACATAGTATGACAAAGTGACATATCAGTGTAAAGATTACAGCTTTGGAAATCCTACAGTGCAGCTGTATTCTTTCTGCGTATCACTATGAATTGGAATCAACTCAATGGCAATGGGTTTGGTTTATTATGTCCAGTCTGTTACAGGTAGCAGTAGTTTTACAACTAGAGTCATGAGTATTCCTACCAAAACCAAGTCATTCGAATTTACAACAATTAAAAGCATTTGCAACTGTTAAGTTTCAGAAATTCAAAACTATTTTTTCATTAACCACAATTAAAATTTTAAATTTTGAGAAAATATATTGGTATTTTAGTGTTTTATTATAAATCTTAGGAGCCCTGGTAGCATAGTGCCTAAGGCACTTGACTGCTAACCAGAAGGCTGGCGGTTCAAACCCACTAGCCACTTCTTGGAAGGAAGGTTGGGCAATCTACTTCTGTAGTGATACCACCTTGGAAACCCAAGGAGGGGTTGCTATGAGTCAGGTTCAACTCGATGGTATGTAACAACAACAACATTATTAATCTTAGTATTTAGGACTTGCTCTAGTTCTCTGGTGCTGCTACAATAGAAATACAACAAGTGGATGGCTTTAATAAATAGGAATTTATTCTTTTATATTTTAGGAGGCAGAAGTCCAAATTCAGAGTGCTGGCTCTATGGACTGAGTGAAGGCTCCTTGACCCTGGGCTTCAGCTCTGCCTCTTGTTCCAGGGCCAGCTGAGCTTGAAATGTCTCCTAACTCACACGCTGCTGGCTGCAGAGGCTGATGAACCCGACGTCAGCAGGCAAAATGGCACAATCCCAAGATCAGCAGACAACACAGCAGGTCACTGGTTCAAGTCCAGGAACAATCCCAAGATTGGCAGGTAACATGGCCCAAAAAATGTGCCCAAAAGTTAGAGACATTCCCCCAAAGCTTCTTCATACATATTGGAAGGAGGCCACACCCTGAAGTAACTCCTCTTCAACTACTTAGCTGCTCACAGCAGATTCCAGCATGAAGGTGATTACAATCTCATCATGGGGAATAACTACATCCAGCTGCCAACTCACTCAAAAACATGGCCCAGCCAAGATGACACACAACCTTAACTACCACATTCCACCCTTTGTCAACCTGGCACCTGTATAGATCTCCTTCAATGGGTGGCCCAATTCTCCTAGTCCATTTGAGTGACAAACTCACCCCATTGGCCTGGCAAGCCCCATTCTTCTGTTCCTTGGACATGACAGCCCTGCCCCCTCACTTCTGAGCAGCAGATATGACCCCATCCCACTGGCACTCATGTTCAGCAGCCCCACACTCCAGAAATGAATTGGTAAAGATCTGACTCTTTGGAACTGAGAAGCCTGTGGAAGTTCAAACCTTTGAAACTTCAGAGGCTGTGGTCTTACACTTTGAAACTGAAGCAATTCTGCTTCTTGTTTCCTTGGTCTCTCAAAGAAGCCAGCCTGGCCTTAGCCCTATTACAGCAAGTATTACAAAGATCTTCAGCTCTACCAGTTAGTGCCTGAAGGCAACCTACTCTGCCAGTAAGCCTCCTGCCCAAAGGCATTCAGTTTTCTTGCTCTGTGGGCTGGCAAGCCTGTCACTTTGTCTTTTACCAGTCTTTCTGTCTCATGCCAGTCTTTTGACTCTGCTGCCACGGTCTCTCTGCCGATCTTTCTGCTATGGTCTCAGTGCAGGGATTCGGGCTATGGACACACTCTACTCCTGCTTCTACAGATTGGGTATCTGTTAGAGCAGCACCTCACTCTCTCAGTATCAAATTCTGTCTTAATTCTCTAGTGCTGCTATAACAGAAATACCACAAGTGAATGGCTTTAACAAGAGGAATTTATTCTTTAGAGTTTAAGAGGCTAGAAGTCCAAATTCAGAGTGTCAGCTGTAGGGGCTGGGTGAAAGCCTTGACCTTGGCCTTCAGTTCTGCCTCTTGTTCCAGGCTCACTGGAATTAGAGGCTTCTTCTAACTCATGCAGCTGCTGGCTGCTGACCCTGACAAATCCAAGGTTGACAGGGAGAATGGCACAATCCAAAGATCAGCATGTAACACAGCAGGCAACTGGTTCGAGATCAGGTTTAGTCCCTAGATTGGCAAGCAACACAGCTCAAAATGTGCCAAAAATCTAGAGACCTTTTCCAAAGCTTCTTCATATATACTGGAAACAGGTGACACCCCAAAGGTAACTCCCCTTCAAGTACTTAGCAGCTAAAAGTTGTCTTGGTATCTCACATACCAAGTTGATTATACCACATCCAATCTCATTATCGGGAATGACTATATCCAGCTTTCACACCCTCAAAATCATGGCCCAACCAAGTTAGCAACCATAACTACACATTACCTTAGTATTAGTATTTACTTATTCAAAGGCAGTAAAGTATATTTCATAAAATGTATGCAATTGAACTATTTGAAAAATTTAGAACGACAATATCAATATTTTCCCCACTATATAATCAGATAAACAGAATTAAGTTAAACAATTAGCAATTAATAGTAATCCAAAATTAATTTCATAAATGTAAAATCTTTTCATTTTATTGTCACTCAATTAATGGTCATTTACTTGTCATGTTAGTAAGACATTATTCATTTGAAATATTTAATCTACTGAATATTTCCCTGATTACTTTTGTTTCACTAAAAAGAAAAATAATATTTTTTTGGAAATAAAATGAAGTGTAAATTGAATGCTGAAATTTCACCTAAAGTTTTAAACACCTGCAAATCCATCAGAGATAAAGATAAACACATTAACTTTATTACAGCTTGTACATAATAAAAATCAAGACAGCTATTTTGGGAACATTAATGCAAGAAGAAAAACTGACTGAAGTATGCTCACTAGAAGTCCTGTCATCAAAGTATATGTGAACTGCTGTATGAAAAGTAAATTTACTCTGTAAATCTTCACCCAAATCCTAATTTAAAAAAAAAAAAAAGAAAGTCCTGTCAACAGCACTTTTATTTAGTTTACTATATGTTACATTATAAATACATAACACGCCTTTTCTTATCACAGGAACTCTTTCACATAACTAAAATATGTGCCCAATATTTTATATAATGAAAGTAAAATAAAGCTGTAAATTATTAGAGAAGGAGCAACAACATAGGAAAATAACACATTTTATATAAATTATAGAAAACAGTAAAAATACAGTACTACTTTCCTATCTAACTCAATTTTACAAAATAAAGTCAACATGTATCATTCTGTGAGCTGCTAAGACTGCGTAAACACTATGGCCCTTTCACAAGACTGTGGTCAAAGGCAAAATGTTATCTTGGTATCACACATTGTTTTTAGTTCTTAACCGGAGTTGAGCTTCCTTTAGTAGTCTTCTTTAAGTGGTGATAGTTTGGCAAGATTTTCATTAGGAAATCCAGCTGTAGTGTCTGAGGCTAAAAAAAATAAGAGAGATAGGAATTAACCAGCAGGAAGCAAAGTCAAGAGATAACCAAGTAGAAATAGTTATCTCTAGGCCAAAGAACCATAGGAAAATTTCATTGAATTACTTTTGCTTAATGCCTCCCTCTTTTTTCTATAATAACAAACATGTATTAGTTTTTTAATAAGAAAAAGTCATATGATTTTACGTATAAAAATAATATATGTGTACTATATACTCTGATTTTATATATAAATCAGTGTGATTTTCAATCTTGCTCTCTTAGATTTCACTGTGGCCTCCAAAAAGATGATTTTACTTTTAGACTTTACTTATTTACATAAGTAAAAAAAACAAAGTACATTGCTTTCCACACTACCAACACAGCCACAAAGCTACAATATACTCAGCTGACTGTCACTAGCATTGCCCAAGTTTCTCTGATTGTAAAATTCACTGGGGCATTTGTGAAAAATATGGATTTTTAGGCCTTTACTTCCTTAGCACTATGATTCAGTTAGTCTGGGCAATCTTTATTTTATGTGAGCCTTATGATCAATAAAATTTGGAAAACAATGCTGAGTAGTATATATACTAAAACTTCATATATTCTTGCTCACTTAATTCTAATCTCCCTTCCCAAACTCCAGCTTCATTTCCCTGTCTGCAATCATTTTTGCTTATCCACAAAGA